AACAAATCCAGATGGTTAACGGTCAAAAAATAGCTTAAATCTGCCAAAAACAACATTTTTAGGCTGCGGACACCCGTGGGTGTCTCGGCCAAGCTTTGGTTGAGACACCATTTGGTGTCTCGACCAAACTTTTGTCTAAACTTGGTTCCGCGTGTTCTGTCTATTTTCGCCGTATCTTCATCGTCCAAACTCGGAATTACGTGGTTCAAAATGCGTTGGAAAGCTAACGAGGAGATCTATAAGCTCTCATGGTTGAATCACATGTGAAGTAGACAAGACACGAGGGGTGCTTCATCTTTTGTAAGTGACGCGTAGCTCCAGATTAGTTCGTGTTCGGTTACTCTGAAGTTCCGTTGCTTCACACGGTCCATCGACTCACTTCATACACTTTGTAGGTGTCTAAAAAATACCTATGGGTGCCCGCACACAGCTCAAGACAAAGAGAAGGTGATGAACGTCGTTATCCGAATCAAAGAGGATTATCCAACACCGACAAGCGCATGAAGCGAATCGGCAAACTGTTGATGACACGACAACGAACCACCGCAATGGAAAACACCAAGTGGACCGCATGCGTTAATCAACTCAAAGCGTACAAACGCACCCAACAGTCAGTTAACACGCACGCATCATTCAGCTCGTGCATGTCAATCAGTGCGCGCGTCAGTCAGTTCACGATGGCGTTAATCAACGTACATTAATCAACTCGTGTGGAGCATACAAGTCAACACGACGGATGAGTAAACAAAACGGGAGAAACTACAAGTCCCGGAAGATCGGAAAAGTCGTAAAAACACAAGAAATTAGCGAAACTCAGCGCGCCGCGCGAGACGGACCAAACCGGCCCGCGCGGGTCAGACTTGTCCTGCGCGCGCTGTTTTGGACCCGGTTCGGTTTTTGATGGTTTTTCTCGAGATTTGTTGGTTCCTGAGCATCCAAACTAACTTGATATCATCTACAAACGAGGTTAGGCTGTTATTGACTAAAGATAAGGCCAAATCACTTGTTCTCATCCAAATAACCGCTTCTGAAGCCCTATAAATACAAGCATAGGGCATCCTTTCAGCAAGGGCGATTGATTATCAAGACGAGGAGGTGCTGTCGGATTGTGGAGTCAAAGGAGCACGAATTTCAGCGAGGGTTGACAGATCTTGGCGAGTTCTTCGGCATAAAGAAGGAGAGTTCGAGAGATCCGACGCCCGTTCCTGTCCGTCCCTTGAGATTATGCTTGGTCTTAATCTCGAGAAGAGCCCTGATTTCGCTTGGTCGATTTTAGCGCTTCAAATCAAATACTTCCTCGGCGAAGGCGAAGCTCTGCCGAATTTTCCATCAACCGGATCCAGATCTAAGGCGGTCCACGGATAAACCCCGACACAGGCAAAGATCCCACGTAAAGCAGCGGGTGATAAACGTCCTCTGCGTTTGTTTTGACGAGAGTTGTAAACTTTTGTTTTCATTGTGTAAAAGTCTTATAAAAAGACAATCTTTTTTTTTGTTTTCATTGTAACGACCGAAGTTGTAATGAATACCGCAATGAATACAACAATTTTCGACACAAACGTCGACATCAAATAAGCTTTTGTGACTTGGATAGCAACGTTCATCGTCTTCTCTCTATCTCAAACCGTGTGCGGGGACCTATAGGTAATTTTTGACGCCTACAATACTTCATAATTTATCCATAAGTACTACTGATTTCTTATTTGTGATATTATATATATTCTTACATACAACATAAAGGAAGGTGTGGGTGGTATAATTACCATTACTTATTATTTATTAGTCAATTAAATCCACTATAACACAATAATATCTATTTACCCATTTAAATTCCCATCATGACCGCCCAAACTATATCAAGCAATTATGTTTTAGGAATAAAGAGGGAACTGATCCTTGCCTTTCTAAATTACCTCTAGGCGATCTAGGAGATTCTCAGCAACGGAGTCGACAAACTGATCCTTGCCTCTCATCAACTACGCAGCTCGATCTCTCTAAAAATAACAATGATTATTAACAGAAAAGATCACATCTTTAGTGAAAATTTTAGGAATAAAGAGACTGTTTCCTTTGGAGCTGTCGATCGAAGAGTCGAGAGCTTTGGAATTCATCGTCACATAAATAACAATCCGCATCCCCGCCAAAATCCTCATCAGGGACCAACGTGTTGACGTAGGACACGTCGGAAATGGGCGTGACAGTGACTTCAACGGAAGAGGCGATGCCGGGGCGGAGGCAGCGTCATAGGCTCTGGGTTCGAGAGGCGGTTGAGGTGGCCGAGGAGGAGGGATTGGGGTCGGGATTGATGTCGATGAGGAGCTCAGCTGCCCTAGAGAGAGAAAGAGAAGAGATTTTGGGGTTTTAGGGTTTTGGTTTTGAGAATATGAGCGGGCAAATGGGTGAATAGTGATCGTCCAATGCATTTAGTGTAGTTTGAGATAAACCCATCTGATTAGATCCATCATACTCCCTTTAAAGCATGAGTTCAGAAAAATCTTTCTATGGTCAATATTATCCTAAGTTTTTTTGAATATTATATTGTCATTCTAATCTATTTTAATTATCCTATCTTCTTTGAAATTGGTAACTAAATGATTTATCTCATTCATAATGAGACTTATGTAAATTTTACTTATTTCAATCCAGTGAGAAATCTGAAAAATATATGCTAGCTAGAAATTAAAAGTTTTTTGACTTTGGAGAAAATATCTTATAAGTTATGAAAATTATAAAAATACCCCTAAAAATTCAAAATTTATAAGAAACACCTCGGAAATTTCAAACCTATAAACACACTAAAAACCTACAAATAACATAAACAACCCCCCAAAAATTATAGAATTTACAATAAATTACTCTGAACTTTTTATGAATTGCAAAATCAAACTCTCAAAAATGTAAAATTTACAAAAATCCTGATAATTTCAAATCCTAACAGTACATTAAAACTATAGAAATTATAAATATCCTCTACATAATTTATAATTTATAGAAAGCACTCTTAAAGTTTCAAACATTACAAACAAACTCTTAAAATTTAAATTTTTAAAAAAGCACCCTGAGAATTTTAAACTCATTAGTAAATTGAAAAGCATAGGAATTATAAATAGTCTATAAATAATTTATAATTTGTAGAAAAGTCCTATAAGTTTAAAAAATTACAAAAACCCCTAAAATTCATAATTTATAAAAAACACCATGAAAATTTCTAACCTATAGACACTAAAATGATTATGCAAAATTAGTAACAACGCATAGAATTAAAATTTTACAAAAAATATCATACATCCTTTAAAAGTATAGGTTTAGAAAAAACTTTTCATGACCAATAATATCCATAATTATTTTGAAAAAATATAATTAATTAAAAATCTATTAAATTTTACATTTACAAAAAAACCCTTAAAGTTTAGTACATTGCAAATTAACCCTCCAAAGTTTAAAATTTTTTAATGATTTTTTGTAATTCCTTGATTTTAATATAATGTTTAATAGTTTTGTATATTTATAAGTTATAAAATTTTAGGGTGTTTTTTATAAACTTTAAAACTTTTAAAGAGTAAGTTGTTCTTAATATTATTAGGCCATAGTTAAATATGCACATTACTATTCATAGACAGTATAATTTATATATGCAAAAAATTACAGACAATCTATATAGTGGTTAAAAAGATTTTGACTTTAATATACTATTTTTTATAAATTATATTTAATGTGAACCCACTATATAATTTTGATTGTGGTCATCATAATTTTAATGTTAGATTGACTATATATGTATATAGACCATAAATTACTTTACTTTCTGATCACATGAGCTAATATTTGGCGCTTAATAATTTAAATTATTATTTTTAAATTTAATATAAAGAGGAGCTCTAATAACATTTATTTATTTACCTATAGGATACTACAATCTCAAATTTTTTTGCTTGAGATTTATTCTATAGTTATGCATCTCAAATTAGTAACTAAATATTAATACTTTCAATTTTACTTCTATGATGCAGAGAATGAGATATAAAATTGAATGAGAATATTAGATAATATAAATATGAGTGAAACTACAACTAAAAGTTAACATGAATATGAGTCAAACCACAACTAAAAGTTTAATACACATTGTTGATGTTAAGTGATTACACAGTCAGTTATATCCGTGCTTGGATGAATTTGTCGTGGATTGATGAAAGGACCGCCTTCTTTCCTGACTTTATATCTGGTTCTTTGAATAGGGTATCTGAAAAATCTGCACATGTAGAAACTTGCGAGAGAGTGGGGTTTGGTTCCCCGTTGTACCTCCGCGATCAAGTTAGCTGATAAACTTGAGCGGGGTAATTAAGAACTGTGGTAATTTTTGTGGGTGTGCAGTATGATTAAGTGACCACACAGACATATTGCAAGTATATTCATATACAAAATTCCTTTGCGAATTGAATGATCACCCATCTTTTGAAGACTTTAAGATACTAATAAATAGAGATATTGTAATATATTAATATGTTTATAACTCATAAATAGTAGATCACGTGGTCACAATCTTGGTTGAAAGAAACAATGATAATATTTTATTTGAGAGAGATATTATTGAGTTGATGATTAATCCCAAAAAAAACTTTATTTTATTTTTTATTTTTACTCTATTTTTATCAATTTAAATAATCATGATATTCAACCACACGTGCATTGCATGTTCATCTCAACTAGTTTAAAAATGGGTGGGTTTTAAACGGGTCAAGTGATGGGCTGACAAATGAGTGAGTACCTATTTAGTGTAGTTTGAGATAAACCCATCTGATTAGATCCATTTAACTAAATGAGTGGGTTTTAAACGGGTCATTTGATGGGTGGGCTAGGTGGGTAAATAAGCATGGGCAAAAATTGTTTACAGGGAATGATGATATGCATGGGTTCTTGAGAGAGTAATTCCATCCGCCGTTTCAGTGACCGGACGCTGAACAGCCAACATTAATTACTAATAACCCCTTCACCTTCTCGATTCCATTTGCCTCTTCAGACACTGGCAGATGGCGACTCCAACTCCACATCCCTGCAGCTCTAGATTCTTCAGGATCCTCTGGCCTAGTTTCATACAAAAACTGGTATCTCTCTCTCTCTCTCTCCCCCTTTCCCTCTCCATTTAAAACAGTCATCTTGGCATGCAGATAATACCCAAAGCTTTTGTTAAGCACATACTCAAGGGGGTAAGCATCAAAAGAGCTAGACTAGTGAACCCAAATGGCAACTCGTGGCTCATCAACATCTATAAAGAGAACCAATGCATGTATTTTGGAGGAGATGGGTGGAAAGAATTAATACATGCGCACAACTTGAAGTTGGGTTATATCTTAGTGTTCTCTTACAAAGGCAATATGGTGTTGAACTTCAGGGCATATGATTTGAGTACTTGTGAAATTACCTATCCTTCTAAAGTTTTCAACGCGAAGATTCGCAACCCAAGTATGGGTATTTTTCAAATTTTCATGTATATATATAATTGTTTTTATTTAAATTTTCATTTTCATGTTTTGATTAATTATGCTAAAAATTGCAGAAGTACCTAAAAACTTTGAGGTCATCATGACAAGTCACAACTTGTCCAGGCAGTGCTTGGTGAGTGATTTTTTTTCCAATTTATGTGTTGTCAAAAAGGAAGAAGCAATTTTCTTAATCAACCATCGATCTATAATTCAGTGATTTTTATCCTCTACATCGCGTAAGAAAGAAGTAAAGGATACCTTTTATTAATAATATGCGTCCATTATTTAGTAATCAGTTTTGATTCATGTGAAATCTAACAACTAGGGTCAGTTTAGCAATTTGTAAACTAAAGCAGATTAGCGTTAATCTGGTTATATTTGGTCTCCTTAAGAATAAATTGATCTCCGTAGAACTCAGTTTGTTAAACTTGCTATGGTCAATTAAAACTCTTTTTAAGTTAAACTTGTTATGTTCAATTAAATCTAGTTTAAAAGCCGTCTTAATCAGCCATCTATATATCTGCTTCGAGTGAGTTAGATTCATTTTGCTGACTTTCTTTTTTGTATCGCGATATTTTGAGGACCAAACATGATCTGGTTCATTTCAGACCAACCCGTTATTGGTTTTGGTTTGATTATAGGCCAAAATCAAGCCAGCTTAAAACAAGATTAGTTCGAAGTAGTAAATTAAGCTGCCTAACTAAGATTATTAACTTGGATCAAAATTCATCTCAATAAAACTTGTTTAGAGTGGTTGCAAAGTGACTCTTATCATGTCTCCATTATTCGTATTTTAATTAAATAATAATGTCTGTGATTGAAGAAGTAGACTTCTCTCACTGATTTTGTATAGTTGAATTAATTAATGCAGTATATTCCGGTGGAATTCACGAGACAATGTGATGGTTTGGCTCATCGACATGAGCTGATTCTCAAGGATTCGAAAGGTCAGTCATGGCCCGTTCATCTGTGTCACAGGAAAATGGCGAAGCATGGATCAGGGATGCACATTGGAGGTGGTTGGTTGCAGTTTGCCAAGGGTAACAGTCTGGATATAGGTGATAAATGCATTTTCAAGTTGGTGAGTGAAAATGAAGAAATTGTGATGAAAGTTGAAAAGATTTAGAATTTTTTTTCTCTCATCATCTTAAGTAATGTGTTTGAAACTTGGAAGAATGTACTGAGTAAGAGTCTTTCTAGTACTCTATGCTTTTCTTTTGTCTGAATTTTATTTTTGTGATTGCCTTTGCTGAGAAAATGTCATTGTACTGAATCTTTGTCTTAAATATATATATCAGATTTCATAAAGAATCAAAATTTGATGATTTTGACAACAATCTGCTTCCTTTTGGCTCTTAAGATTAAGATTCTCTATCACCACTGCTCAAAACTCAATACCCCATGGGATTATCTTTTGACCTTTCATCTTTCGGGTATTTGTTCCTAGATTTTGCATGATTGTACTTTGATTTGAGAGATATTGCTTTATTTAAATGATTTTTGCATTACATGCTTCCTATCTAGTCTAAGTCTTATTTGTTTCCCTCATACACGTTTGTATCCAATCTATATTTGTATTCGATTTTGGCGGACAGGGATCATAAATTTTCTATGTCAAACCATGTTCATATTTGTATCCATACCTGTGATTGATATCAAGGATAGATATGATATCATTCGATTCATATCTGATCCATTAACACCCCCAGTGGAGTGGTATTATACCCATTTAGTGATGGATGTTCTGTAGCTCAAGCATGGAATTGAATGAAGCTCTGAGAAAAATTCGGACCATATCTTGTATTTTAGTTTATTCTTGTTATCTTATATTTTAGTTTATTATTATTTTTGAAGCTTCAAACATCTCTTTGTTGTTTGCCTGATGTATTTTGGAACAACAGAAGCAAAGAAAGCAGGGTGATAATAGAAGAAGAGCTTCAGCAGAAGATTGAGGAGACGATGCCAGTACAGAAGCAAAGAAAGCAGGGTGATAATAGAAGAAGAGCTTCAGCAGAAGATTGAGGAGACGATGCCAGTAATGAATAATAAGGCGTCCTAGAACTACTGTCATGAATGGAGTTATACTGAAATTTCGCCACTGATTCCTCTCCACAAGCTAAATGCATGATACCCTGAGTCTCAAGGACTTGTTTAGTCTTTAAACAGAGTCTAAACATGTTTTGTACAAAGTTAAAGACATTAGTGTTTTCTTTAGAAGTACATTAGATGGTTGTTTGGATGGTGGTTCTCTAAGGGTAAATCCATGAAGATGGGTTAAATGCATTATTTTCTAACGTTTCATCTTGTTTGGCTATGTGCGAGTCAAACTAGATGCAACTAGTTAGCAATTATTAAAAGGGGGAGGGGGAGGGGAGGGTGAATACTATCTGTTGGGCGCAGAGTCACGCCCTCACGCCGCGGAAGCGATATCACCTGAGAGATAGCCCTGACTTTTGTTATCACAAAAGCACAAGTCAATCTCTATATTCTTGTTTCTCAAATAAAACTAGAATAGATAGTGAAATTCTTATTTCTTAAAGGAAATAAGAATCGAAAGTGATATATTTCATCAAAGTGAACTATACACTCTTCCTCTAATCAGTTCTAAGACTGAAATGTCGAGGGAACCTACAAGCTATGGCAACACACAGTAAAAGACGAGACAACAGATTTACGTGGTTCGACAAACTTGCCTACGTCCACGGGAGGGGGGTTTCACTATGAGGAGAATACCAAACTATTACAAGTTCTCTCTCACTCACTCTTTCTTTTCCTCAAGTTTCTCACACTTAAGAATTTCACACTTATTTTCCCCACACTTTCTCCTCTCAACCTCCCTTCTATTTATAGCCAAGAGAGAGAGAGGCATAGGAGCATGAGCTAGTGTACATAGGAGCATGGGCTAGTGTACATAGGAGCATGAGCATGGGCTAGTGTACATAGGAGTATGGGCTAGTGTTCCCCCCCATTGTCCTCCTCACAATTCTCCACCTCATTCATCATTTGATAAATCTCAAATTTTGAACGAACACCAGAAGAAATCCCACGAACATCACCAGAGAGATCCAGGCCAAACCAGCTGCGACACTATACCGCGACTGCCTATGTACCATCCACCGGGATCAAGCTAACCGTAGTTCTGCAAATATTCTCCAACATAGTCTCCACCTCACCTCCATCACCGTCCCGAAGGGCCATGCCCTCTTGGGCAGATTAACACGGCCTGATATGAAGCAAGTCCAAGCAATGCTGGAACTTACTACTTGTGACCATCTTGGTTAACATGTCCGCGGGATTCTCATTCGTATGCACCTTCATGAGAGAAATATCGTCTTCCTCTATGACATCCCGCACAAAATGATATCTGACGTCGATATGCTTGGTACGAGCATGGTAAACTTGATTCTTCGCCAAATGAATCGCACTTTGACTGTCGCACCGCAAGTTCACGCTCTCCTGCTCAATCCCCAAATCGTCTAGAAGACCCCACAGCCACAATGCTTCTTTCACTCCCTCCGTCATGGTCATGTACGCGGACTCTGTAGTAGAAAGTACCACTGTAGCCTACAACATCGATCGCCAACTAACTGGAGCTCCATGTATCCTGAATACATAACCAGTAGTAGATCGCCGTCTATCTAGATCGCCCGCATAATCTGAGTCCACAAACCCGTCGATCTGATATTTATCTTCACCAAAACACAGACCCGTATGCACGGTACCTTTCAAGTACCTCAAGACCCATTTTACCGCTTCCCAGTGCGTCTTTTTCGGATTCGTCATGAATCTACTGACCACACTAACCACCTGTGAAATATTAGGACGTGTACACACCATTGCGTACATCAAACTTCCAACTGCACTAGCATAGGGAACACGCTTCATGTGTGCTTTATCTTCCGCTGTAGTGGGAGATTGTTTACCTGAGAGCCTGAAGTGTGGAGCCAATGGAGTCGCCACCGACTTTGCACTTTGCATCTCGAACCTTGCGATCACCAGCTCTATGTAGCCCTTCTGACTCAAGAACAATCGCCTGTTCGCCCGTTCTCTTCTAATCTCCATACCCAGTATTTTCTTTATAGCATCCATATCCTTCATCTCGAACTCTTTACCAAGTTGAGATTTTAGTCTATCTCCACCTTGTTCTTCGATGCAATAAGCATGTCATCCACATATAAAAGGAGATAGATATAATCACCTCCACGAAGCTTCTGAATGTAAACACAACAATCATAATCGCTTCGGGAAAACCAATGCTTCAGCATGGAGGAGTCAAATCGCTTGTACCACTATCATGGAGATTGCTTTAATCCGTAAAGTGACTTCCTCAAGCGACATACATGATTCTCCTTATCTTCAACCTTATAGCCCTCAGGTTAATGCATATAGATCTCTTCATCCAAGTCTCTGTGCAAGAAGGCCGTTTTAACATCGAGTTGTTTCAGCTCAAGATCACCATGAGCAATAATACTCAATAGCACCCGAATAGAAGTGTGTTTCACCACCGGAGAAAATATCTTATTGTAATCCACACCCTCTCTTTGTGCAAACCCCTTAGCCACTAGTCTCGCCATGTACCTTGTACCACCGAGCTCTGAAGGATCTTCCTTTCTCTTATACACACACTTATAACCAATAGTTTTTTTTCCTACGGCCAATGGGACCACCTCCCATGTTTGGTTCTTCCGGAGAGATTTCATCTCCTCCTCCATCGCAGCCAACCAACTCTCGCTATCTCTATCCCGAATAGCTTCTTTGAAGGAGACCGGCTCATCCTCCTCCACCGAGAGTGCATACTCAACCAAATTAACCTGCCCATAGTGCTTCAGGGGTTGATCAGCCCCCCACCTTCTGTACCTGCTTGTATGCTCGCCTTGGCCTAGTGAAAGCTAAGCTATCATCGAGCTGTTGTTGTTGTAGTGCCTGTGTATTCTCCTGCCTGTGTATTCTCCTGCTGAACCTCCTCCTGCTCAAGCTCATCATCTACCTGATTTCCCACTTGAACATGACTAGAACCTGGTTGGTCTTTAGGTTCTATCTCAATAACCTGGGACTTGGAAGTCCCAATAGTCTCAATACCACCATCTTTGGGCACCCTAGCAATCATAGACTTCTTATCAAAGATAACGTCCCTGCTGGTCACGAACTTCGAATCTTTTGTACACCAAAGGCGATAGCTTTTTACGCCCTTTGCATACTCTAAGAAAATTACCTTCTTGGTCCTCGTGTCAAGCTTTCCCTCGTTGACGTGATAGTAGGCGGTACATCCGAAAATCCGGAGCCTCTCATAATCTGCATGCTCTCCTGATCGCACCCGATAGGGTGTATCACCGTCCAATGTCGAATGTGGAGATCGATTCATAATATAGTAAGCTGTAGCAATCGACTCTGCCCACCATTCTTTGCCTAAACCAGTATATGATTGTATACTCACTGCTTTCTCCCGTAGTGTTCGGTTCAGTCTCTCTGCGATCCCATTTTGCTGTGGTGTAGATCTAACTATCCAGTGTCTGGCAATCCCCTCCTGATCACATAACTCCTTGAAGGCACCCTCTGTATACTCTGTACCGTTGTCAAATCTCAATGTCTTCAATTTCTTTCTCGTCCTGTTCTCAACCATCGCCTTTCAATTCTTGAATGTCTCAAATACCTCATTCTTATGCTTCAGGAAATACACCCAAGCATACCTCAAATGATCATCTATGAATGAGACAAAATATCTGGAACCATCCTTGGAAGTTGTCGAAGCCGGACCCCAAACATCTGTGTGCACATAATCTAGTATCCCTCTGCTCTTGTGCTTGCTCCTCAGATACTGGACCCTATGCGCCTTTCCATACACACAATCCTCGCAAAAATCTATGCAAGATTTCTTCAGATTCTTTAGCAAACCCTCTTTACCAAGAAGATTCAGATCCTTCTCTGACATGTGCCCAAGCCGCCTATGCCATAACCGTGTGTGCTCACATGGGTCTCCACCATTTCTTTCAGCTCCAACTACTGCATCTCCCGTCACCGTCGTACCCGAGAGAGTATATAGATTACCGTAACGAACACCCTTCATCACTGTTAGGGAACCTCGAATAACCCTCTTCACTCCGTTCTCTGTTACAATCTTGCAACCCCCGGAGTCCAAAGCACCAACTGAAATAAGATTCTTCCGTAAGTCGGGAATGTTCCTTACATCCGTCAAGGTTCGAACCACTCCATCATGCATCTTGATATTGATATCGCCTAGCCCCACCGTTTTACAAGCATGGTTGTTCCCCATCAATACGGTTCCGCCATCAATGCTTCTGTAGGTAGTAAACCACTTCTTATTTGGGCACATGTGGTAAGAGCAATCTGAATCAAGAATCAACTTCCTGGAGGTATCCTCGCCACCCGTGACGACATAGCATTCCTTATCGCTCCCTTCCCCTGAAGCGTAGCTCGCCTCTTCCTTGCTTTCTCGTCTTTCAGTCTTGTTGTTGTTCTTCTTCCCACCTACTCTCTTGTTAGGACAATCGACCTTGAAATGCCCAACTTCACCGTATTTGAAACACGCTCGTCCCGCAAGAGGTCTCGATTTAGATCTAGACTTTCCTTCCTTGCCTTTTCCTCACTCATTGCCTCTTCCTCTGGCAAACAGTCCCTGAGCTTGTTCCTTGTTACCATCAGTGGTCATATTACTAGTTGCAATTTTTCGAAGATCATCCGCTAGAAGCGCCGTTCTAGTCTCATCCATCGACAAACTGTCGCCCATAAGCATCAGTGTTTGAACCAGATTCTCATAAGACTTCGACAGAGATAAAAGTAGTAGAAGTGCCTGATCCTCGTCTTCCACTGTCACCAGATTCTCATAAGCATCAGTGTTTGAACCAGAATCTCATAAGCATCAGTGTTTGAACCAGATTCTCATAAGACTTCGGCAAAGATAAAAGTAGTAGAAATGCCTGATCCTCGTCTTCCA